AGGGTGACTGTTGGTGAGAGGCTGGGACAACGCTGAGAGAGCAGAGTGCCTCTGCCTGGGAAGCTGCGAGCGTTTCTCCTTCCTGTCGCCTGTTTGGGGCCCCACAGCTGTCTGTCCTGCTCCAGCCCACCCTGCTCCTCGGGCTTGGAGAGACCGAAAAAAAAAAAAGAAGAAGAAGAAGAAGTTTTGCCAAGAGGGAAAACTGCAGCTCTTCAAAAATGGGAAGCAGGGTCATCATCCTAATATTCTGCATGCGGACAGTTCCAGAGAGCAGCAATACGTGTCAGGAATGAGAATGGCTTGAGATGGGGCCCAAGGAACATGCCTGGCTCCACCAGGGAGATGAAAGAATTTTTCTCCTTCCTTTGCCTTTTAAATGTATTTCTGCCTGCCCTTCTACCCCCCCTCCACCCCACCCCCCCTCAACCTTCTCCCTGGTGCAGCGCAGATACTTAGCAGTCCTGGGAAAAGGCAGGACCCTTTTCATTAACTTCAGCCTGATTGAAGTCCCCAGAGCCACCGCAGATTTCATTCTCCTGCCTCCATGCCTCCCTGCCTCCCTTGCCTTGCCTCCCACCCCACACACCAAGACGGCCCTGGGCAATGACCTGTTCTCCAACAGGACAGAATGAGGATGAGGTCTGGTAAGGGGCACAGATTAGAGACCGTCAGGATTCATGCTTTTTAGTCCAGTGGCTGTATGGAGGGGCATGCTCACCCCTGCTCTCCTGTGGCTCAGTTTCCCATGAATTTCTGAGCACACCTCTCCCACCGCCAGGATAAGGGCCAGCAGTCGGTGGTGTCAGGGTGTCAGGGTTGGACTGGACTGAGATGGCCCCTGGCGGAGGTTTCTGCAGAGGGGCTATGGGTTAGGGGACCCATCCAGGCTGGTTGTTAACTAGCAGTGTGATCTTGAAGTCTTGTATTAACTTCTGCAAAATAAGGGCTCTGTCTGCAGTTTTAAAACTTGTTTTAGTGGCAGATTATTCATTTTCAAATGAGCTTGTATACATGAAAGAGTGTAAAACAGCCACTTTGGTTGAAGGGAGGGAGAGGTGGACATAGTGGAGGTCTTCTGTCTACACCACCTTCCCTTGTTCCAGTTCTGCAGCAAAGGTGGCTCCTGAGCCCCCTGGGGACAAAATGATTTCTTCATCCACCCAGGGGCCTTTCACTGTCTCCTTCAGGTCTCGATACTATGTAAGGATAGAAATGTCTTTTGAGGACCAGATCGAGACGGTGTTCAATTTTGATATTTAGGAAGTGTTTTAATCCTGTGTTTTTAATACGCATCTGCACACCTTATTTCAGTGCACAGGGTCAGCCCTGTCCTTTCCTGGGTGCAGCATGTGGGGACAATGAGGAAGTAATCAGTTGGAAAGGAGAGCATTCAGGGAGCAGAGGCTGTGTTTTGCCTGAGAGCTCAGGTGTTCGGTTGGAGCATGGTTAGAGCCTGGAGCCAGGAGGCGGGGTTTCGGGGCTGGGTGGTGAGGAACAGGCAGGCTTCTGCATGCTGGTCTTTAGGAAACCACTGAGAGAGGGGTCGCAAGGCTTGCCTTTGGTTATTTCCCAGGTCAGGTAACACCTGAAATGCACACTAGATTGAGAATAAATAGTTGAGAATGTACAAGGTAAGGAATTCAGAAGTTTTAGATGTTCCTGGATAGACCATCTTTGATATTACCTCCCTGACTCCCCAAATCACCATCAGATGAGTAACACATCAGAACTGCAATAGGCCCATTGACCATTTTATTGTTTCACCCACAGGATGGTTCTCTCTCTCTCTCTGTTCAGCCTCTTTTGCTTCCATACCATCTTTTCTTCAATTTAACCTTTGACTCCCACACTGAAGTATAAGCCAATATTCTCTCATAAAACCTACAGCGGTTAGAGAAGAGTTTGTTCCCATCCCTGATTAATTCACTCAGATATTTGAGTGCCTACTTCATGCAGGAAATGCTCTAGGTGCTGAGTGCCACTTCCTCTTATCGGCTTAAAGGATGTCACAAGCGTCTCTCACAGGTCTCTTCTCCAGGCTCCACATGTTAGTCATGCTAGTCCTCACCGCCAGGTTGGCAGTATTCCCTGCCTTCCCTTTAAGTCATTTGACTGGTAGGTAAATTATCGATGAATTGTATGTCCACATTCGTCAATACTTTGAGAAATGCAGAAGTTACATGAGATAGTAACCATGGTTTTGTTGGGCATAGTCTTGTTAGGTGAGAAAAAGAAAATAAAAAATACATACAACAGAAAAAAGAAGGGGAAGGGTCAAGTCAAGGAACATGTATAAAGGACCCATGGACAAAGACAATGGGGTAGAGGATTGAATGTGGTAGGTGAGGGGTGGGTAGGGCAAGGGAGAGTAATGGGGGAAAAATGGGGATAACTACAACTGAACAACAATAAAAAAAATTTAAAAATACATACAACAGCACAAAACAGAACTTAAACCAAGTAAGAGATAAATTGCATGCACCTGGCCCCCTAAGAGAAGGCATAGCATAGGGTGTCTAAGCATTCCAGGGAGAGAGGGGTAGATCCTGACTTTGTTGAGCTAGGGACATTGTGAGTAATAGCCCAAAATGCCATATCTCTATTTCCAATCAAACAAATGGATCTGGCTATTTCTCAAGTCTAAAACCACTGACATGAAAAAATAGTGCATCTGATAAGATGCTTTAAACACCCTTGTGGCTGATTTGCAGTTGTGGCATCAGAACTAGGAGGAACTAGACCTTTTGGTCTCACCCTTGCTGTCTACTTGGGGAACCCCATTAAAAAGGGGCAAAAGGGTCCCTACCCAATGAACTCCAAGAGCCTGGATAACCTGAGATTTGATGCCTATGTGCTAACACGTATTGGTGGATGTGCTAACACGTATTGGTGGCCTTGTCCTTAACAAGGTCGCTTGCATATCCATACCTCACCCCAGCCTTTCTGTTGCTCCTCCCCAATGCCATCCTAACCTGTGCTCAGTTCAAGTTAGAGGCCTAGGTTGGACTGATGCAATCTGAAGAGTGGATGGTCATTACCAATTAAATAAAATAATGTCTGGAAGGAAGGGTCAGTTAAGGGTCATTCATAGAGACACATGTTTTATGTCCCTGCCTGTTGCTCATTTGACAAATAGCCTGGCACTCATCTTTTCTCCCTGGGCCGTGTCTCATCAGCAAATTATCTGCAATGTGCTATAAATCAGAGGCATCGTGTTATAAAAGAAAGAGAATGAGCTTTGAGATAAAATAACTTTGGGTTTAAATCCCAAATCCATGTGCTACCCGTGTGACCTAGAATGTGCTATTGAACTTCCGTAAGTCTCAATTGTACCATCCATAAAGTGGAGATACTTTCTCTTTCATGATGGAGTTGTGAGGACTGAACAAGAAAAGTTGTATAGAGCAGCAGTCACTGTCAGTCTTCAAAGCACGATAGTGCCTGCCTGCCCTCCCTCCTGTGTGCTTTGGCCAGCAATGGGCCACCGCAAGTGCAAAGGGAGCTGTCCTGGGATTGGTGAGACCCCTTTTCCATGTTTTTGTTCTTGTGGCTGCCGCACCTGAAGTGCCTCAATCTGCCCCCTTTCCATTGTCAAGGCTCAGTTTAAACGCCGTCTTATTTTGGCAACTCCTGACCTTTCTTACTTTATGTCGTCAGTTTGACACTATATTCTACTATACTCTGCTCACACTTACATACGTGCCTTATTGTTTGGCCAGATTGTAGGTTCCTTAAAGGAAGGGACTAAGTCTCGTAATGTTTGGCCCTTAGCATCTAGTAAGCACCCTCAGGGGTATTTCACTACCAAGGGGCCAAACTGGCTCTCTGTCAAAGAGGTGCCACCTTCTCAAGGTGCCTTCTGCATGGAGAGCCGACACTCAGGACTGGGCCTGGGGAGAAACGTATAGCTTTTCCACTCTCCACCACCTTTCTGCTCTATCCCAGCGTTAACACCCTGTTCTCCATCATTTTTGGCCAAGTTATTCAGAGCAGTTAAAAAAGCCTAGTTGAGCTTTCCTGAAGGCTGGAGACTCTGGAGGCACTGGCGCTCAGCATGACTCCCTCTGTTTCTTGAACCAAACAAAATATTGTTACAGCAAACATGAAATCTTTCCTATTTTTCGCAAAATGCTCTCTAGGCCTAACAAAGCTAGCAGTCACACTCCTTGAATTAAAATAAGCATCTGCCCTTTTTCTCTTTACCCCACCCCACTTTTCCAGCATTTTTGAGCAAAAATAAAAATTTAATTATTTCATCAATTAATTGTATGAGTCTATTGAGTGCTTTCTGGAGGGGATGCAAAAATATTAAAACCTTAACTTTACCCTTTGATATCAGTTAAACACAGAGAAACAGCAAATATATAAACTTGACTCTTATGTCTTAATATTGTGCATGATAGTTTGAGGCATAAGCTATGAATACATAAATATATATAGGATCAAAGATATATGATAAAGGGAAACTTAGTCATATGTAGCTGTGAGGAGAAAAGGATCATTTTTTCTGGCCTAACAAAAGAGGAAGCAGAAGCAGCAGCAGCAGCAGCAGCAACCATCCTAGATGAAGTATCTCTTTGCCTTGTGCTATCACAGACGACACTGATAGTAGGAAGAAAGTCAGGCACCTACTTCCTAAGGAAGTGTGCACATCTATAGACTCATGGGAAATTTTACGTACAATTTCAGGGAGTCTGGATCTGCTGAAGTTCATCCATAGACCATGATCCCTAATTTAAGACCTTGTGAAGCATTGGGGGTCACTTACAAGAATGGTAGGAGAGACAGTAGAGAGGGGCCATGCAGGGACGCGGTGGCCATAGGGGAGAAAGTCTTTGAGTCGAGTTTCCTCGGCCAGCAACGCTCTTACCTTCTGCGATTCTGCTTCTTTAGCTCTGGGTCTAGGCTCTGGCAAATCCAGTGTGAATCTGTTGTCCCAGGATTACTGTATGCAAACTTTGAGGAGTATCACTAATGAAAATTCCTTTGTTCTTTCCCAGCTCCTCGCAGCCAGTGACCTTGCAGCCAGCGACCTCAAAGGATTTCAGCCACAGGTAAGTTCAACCAACTGTTTCTTACAGTTTGGAAGAGTGACGTGTTCCATAGTCTTGCCATGAACAGACCAAGTTGGCACCTGGGCAGAAATCCTCATCCTGGATTTCCAGCTTCTCTGAATCAAGATGCCAACCTTGACAGAGACCTGGTGTCATGCCCTCTCCCTCTAGCTCCTCTGTCATCATATCAAGATCAAAACAACCTTTTTCTTCTCTCTCTCTTGATATTTCATAGTGGGGAAAAATACAGATCAAGATGCTTAGAATGTGTGGTGGTAGGTGACTTAGCTTAAAAAAGGATTAAACTGAGGAGGTAGAGGGTGGGGTGGGGCTGGGGTGGGGAGGGGAGACCTATATTTCTCTTTTTGATCTTTGTGTGCACATGCCTTGCAGTCATTGGTCGGGCAGCCCAGTTCATCTCAGACTCTGGCAAAGGCAGATGGTTAAGCTTTGGTTAGTTTTGCTCATCTTGGTTAGTTTTGCTGATCTTGGTTAGGAAATGGTCCACTGTTCTCTTTGGCCAGAATGCTATTTGGAAGCCACCATGAGTAAACCACAAGAGGGCGCAGGCAAGGGTTCTCTGGGGACCTCCTTGACAGCGGGGAAGATGGACAGTCACCTTCCCTGTCTCTAGAAGGGGACTTTGTCTACATAATACAAACAGAGAAGTACCAACACAACATTCCCCCCGGACACACACAGAAGTCTTTGTGTTCCTCATGGACCCGGCGCAGACAGAGCATGTATGTAGAGACAGGTAAACCCTAGAATGACAGCTGTGGCACTCTGTCCCCATTTCTGTCTCCCTTTCAACATGAACCTTTCTCTCACTCCCCAATTCAGTACTGCCATACGATTGTACCAAGATGCACCTTTGTGGGGAGATCCATCTTGGCTCATGGCAGAGAACTTTTGGGGATAGAGCAGATAATTTTACAATTGCAAGGACTGCATGTATTTGGGCAAGTTTTCCTCGTTAAATATGTTTCACGTCCAAGAGCTCACTCTGCCCACACTTCACTTTTCCTGTGTGGAGTGTATTCTTTGAATCCCTTTGTACTGCTGGGAAAACTGAGGATCAGAGTCCTTATGAAAAGTGGCCTCAGTTGACACAGAAAGCTAGGGAAAAGGTCAGAGAGTGGGAAATGAGAGGCTCCAGGAGTGAAACAAAAGAGCAAGCCCCATTGGCAAGTCAAAAATATAAATCCTCGCAGCCTTTGGGGTATTTCGATCACAGGTTGTTGATCCTTCTGTCAGGGATGCAGTGAGGCTCTGGAATAGGTAATCAGTCAGCCTGTTTGACAACTATGGAAAACTGGTAATTAATTAGAGTACTTATTCACATAGTCACATAAACTTCCAGGGGAGCACAGGGAATGCACAACAAAAACAAAAGAAAATCAACATTTACCCATATCCCACACACTGTGACACCTACCTTGCATACCATTAGCATCCCAGCTAAAGATTTATTCTTGTCTGAAAATTTTAAAAATAAAAGGAAAAATGCTTTCTGTGATGTTGTTTTGAGACCTAAAAAGGGTGCATAATAGAGACTGAGTTTATTGTATGAAAGGAGAGTGTGTGTGTGTGCGCGCATATGTGCTCGTGAAAGTGAAAGATTTGGCATTGTTGCTTTCTGAGATGATCGCATTCTCTCCATGTCTGTTGAGCCGCGTTTCTGGATTAGATTTGAACTGAGTTTTTAAGAGAAGCGGAAGTTAGACATATTTGGGTGCATCCATAGCATTTGAGGCCATGATCCTCAAAAGGTAGGGTCCCTGCTGCCCCCACGCAAGCCCCCAAGTTGCTGGCGCAGATGGCTCGCTCCCCTGCTTCAGCCTGACCTTTCCACATTACTTCATTTGTGTGTCATCCCCCAAGGCTGAAAGCAGAAATCTGTATTTTTCACTCCTTAGGATGCCTATTTCCGAGGCCAGGAAGCCCTGGGAATGTTGTGGCCGGTGCCTAGTGCCCAGATCAAAGTTAGTGCTTTAGTGTTATTCCTAAATCAGAAAGGCCCGAATGTGTCTCACATCAATGCCACCCTTTGGGTGCTTTTCCAAACAGAGAGCGCCACTCACGTGCTTCGGGCTGCCCCACCTCCCAGCCCCCACGGCCCCAAGTTGTTGGCTTCTGCTGTTATTGTTCCATTCTCTCTTTGGGTTTCAGATGAAATGGAGTCCCAGGCATCCTGTTGTTCACAATAATTCATGGGTTTGTTTCCTTCCAGGGACTGTCAGTGACTTTCCGGAGAGGAATCGCTGAGGACCCCTCTCGGGGGTAACTGTAATCAGGCTTGTCAGCTTTCACAGTCCACACTTATCACTTGCCAGTAAAAGGTTTTCTTTTCTTTTTTTCCTTGATGCCTGATCCTGCTGCAACCTCTTAGGGAAAATTGTCATGATTTCCTCGCTAATCTTTGACGACTCTGCTTTGAAAGTGTGGACAAGGCCAACTCTATTGGGCTGGACAGTTCTGTCTCTTTGTCTCTGTACTCCTTTCTGCTTCCAGATAGAGAGGAGGAGGGTAAAGAAAGGACTATCAGCCTTTCTCCCCATGATTATTGGTTTGCAAAGATACTGTGCTCATGCATGGAAATAAACACATGACTCTGCAGGTAGAGTCTGATGGCTGGTGCTAAGATTCTAAGGTTGTGATTTGCTGTGGGAGTTCTTCCCGGCTGGTGAGCTTGGCCTCTGGACCACAGAGGGTGGTATCTTCTCCTTGAGCCAGGCCTGGGACTGACAGCTTCAGCAAGTTTTAAAGGCACAAATGAAAAAGCTTCTGAAATTCACACCAAAACCACCCAGACTGTTCTCTTCCTTTTGTGTTCCCCCCAAAACACATCTCTCATTTTCCAGCATCCTGTGCTTGCCTTTTGAAGGAGTGGACACACTTGAATCTGTCCTTTCTGGCCTTTGGATCATTGGAAATGACTACCCTCATCTCCCTTTGCCAGACCATCCCTCTCCACGCCCAAGAGGAGTAAAAGCAGGCATCTCACTCTCTTTCATAAAGCCTAACATTCCTATGCTTCCTCTCCATGTTTCTGTTTATCCCATTTTCCTCCTCATATGAAAGTTAATTCAGAAAACATGAAGGTGGTCCAAAAATACAAATGTCCAGTTATAAAATAAATAACTCTTGGGCACGTACATCATGGTGACTATAGTTAATAATACCGTATTGTATATTTGACAGTTGCTATGAAAATAGATCTTAAAATTACCCATCATAAGAAAAATAATTAGTAACTGTGTGCGGTGATGGATGTTGATTATTAAATAATTTTAAGAAATTGGGAAAATACAAAAAAAGCCATAAGAAAAAAATCTCTTGTGGATGATCCCCAGAAATATGGATAATGACATTTTGGGGTATGGTCTTGCAATCTTTGTTGTACATAGACCTACAGAGATGAATTTTTAAAAAATTCATATCATATTTTATATGCTTTTTTTGTTACCTTCCTTCTTGTTTGTTTGCATGCTTCCCGTGTCACTGGAAAATCTTCCAGCAGCTGGCTATTTCTGTCCGGTTGCTAGTGCCATCATTTATTTACCACTCCCCTCTCGTTAGACATTCCATTCCTTTTGCAGGCTGAGCTCTTGAGGAGCAATCCAAGGCCAGCACTAGATCCAGGGCCTGCATCTAGGACGCAAATAGCATCCCAGGCTTCTTGGCATTTATTTCTTCTTTGTTCCTTAGTTCCTGCAAGGGTGTGATGGCGGCATAAACTTGGCAGTAGTGTGTCCATGCGGGTGTGCCCATGGACATTTGTACGCATGCTTACAAGGGCCCCGGTGGAGATGTGGTGACAAAATAAACATGTGGGGCCCAAACTCAGATGCAAGTTTCACATGCCCAGCCCCTATGCTGAGAAAGATATCTTGCAAAGACCCGTCCCCACTGGCTAAGGGACTTGGTCCTCTCCTGCCTTTTAAACCCTCCAGTGTCTCAGAGGAGAAGAGGATACTTCTTTTAGGAAAAAAAATGAAGTTGTAACTCATGTGTGCCTCGTGATAGGATTTTAGGGGGACAAGGGTCATAGGTATCCTATGAAGGGTAGCTGTTTGTGAGGAATTTCTAAGATCTCCATTGCTATTATGGCCAAGGATACACTGTCGTAAAGGGTAGAAAAGAATAAAGCAGGACACACAGGAAGACATTTTTCAGTGTGGAGGAAACGGTGCTTTTGGTCACTGAGTTACCATTTCATTCAAAGCCTTCCAGGGAGGCCTTTCCATGAGGCTTCCTGCTGGCCACACTCTGCCCCAGAATCTGACAGTCCTGCAATGTTCTGTCACTGGTGTTAGCTTTGTGACCCTAAGGACACTACTGAATGTCTCTAATCTTCATTTTTCTTATTAAGCAAGGTTAAATTGTGCAGCTTATCGGACAGATTATGTGAGGATCAAATAAGACAATGTCTGTGAAAACAGCCTAGCACAATGCCTGCCATACACAGTGAATTTAATTTTTCCTCCTTTCCTTCCTTTCAAATAATTTAAATTATTTAAGCAGAAACTGTATCCATATAAAGCAAGCAGGAAAGTCTTCCAGGTGAAGGTGTCATTGTACCTGAGCCAAGATAGGTGAGAAGGAGGAGGTAATGAACTTATTCTGCGGCAGGGGAAGCCTGGATGAAGGCCAAAACAAGGGTGGAGATGCTTAGATGTATGCTGGAGACTTGCAGCGGTTTGATTCATCTGGTTCAGAGGTAGTATGTTGGGATTTCAGTTGCAAATTAGGTTGGGTCCACATTGCAGAAGGCTTTGAAACTCTGGAACAAGTCACATTCTTTTTTTAATTAACTATTACTGAAGTTTTCAAACATATACAAAAATAAGCATAATAGAATAATAAACCTCCAATATATTATCCAACCTATATCATTTAGTATCCAACTTCAGTGGTACAGTATGTTGCTTAAAAAGTCCCGATTTGTACCATTTGCCCATTTCTGTGGTGTAAATATCTCCATCTTAACCAATTTT